AACTATTTAAAAAAAAAAGTAATGTTAAAGCTTTTCAACGGGTCTCTGCGAGTTGACCTCGGTATTCTCCAGGACCTTGTGGTCCCGAGAATTTAAACGAAAATTTACGCTTAATAAAATAAAGAGAATTTACCGTGAAATAATATGAATGGAATTCATTCAATTAAAAATGCAGCTGATTAATTAAATAGTAAAGTTCATTAATTAACAACAACAGGATAATGTTATATTTCCTCTGTATTTGCGGTTATTATCTGAGGCACTTCTCAACATATGAAAAACATGTCCAAGCACCGTATATAAAGGGCGAAGTGTACAGTACAATAACATTATTAACTTCGTGACCACTCACTGACTCGTACACCTAAAGATGAAGTTCTTTAATTTTTTTCTGGCAATTTTATTAACAGTTGCCTGGGTCTGCACTGCTCAGCCCCTTTTTGAGCAGTCGATTCGCCAACCAATAATCTCGAACCATCAGCGATATAAAAGACAGTATTTCATTACTAACAAAGATTGCCCTAAAAATCAATACAAATTTGGCGAACAATGCATTGAGTAAGTAATTTTTTTTTGTATTTTCCATAGTCAATATTTTAAAGTTTAGTTATGTGTTCCATTATCTCAACTGCTTTTATTTATTTAAATTTGTTTATACTTTATGTAGTACTAGCGTTCTACCCTGGCTTCGCACTTGTGAAATGCTACCTACTACAAAATTTGTCCATCATATAATAAATGTTTTTACACATATAAACCTTCCAGTACATATAAATCTGTATTTTGACGAGTTATAGGCAAAATTGACACGTAAATTCTGTGCTTTTATATATGGGATGTTGTGCTAATTGTGATTGTGTAATAATAAAAATATCGATCCTCCTCACAAAAGCCCGGTTTAATCAACACACAGATCCCTGACCTCAAAAAGGCGCTAAAGTTCACGTAACTCCTCAATAATGAGGATATCCATTTTTGTTTTTATGTAATAGATCGGCAAACGAGCAGACGGATTACCTGATGGTAAGCAATCAGCGCCGCCCATGGACACCCGCAACGGAGGAGTTACGAATGCGTTGCCGACCTTTTAGGGATTAGGTATTTGAAGATTTAGGGATTGAGGAAGGATTGGGCCAACGGTAACCTCACTCACACAGCGAAACACAACTCTGTGGTTGTTTCACGCCGGTTTTCTGTGAAGCCGTGGTATCACTCCGGTCGAGCCGACCCATGGCTCTCCCACACTTAAATTACGAGCTAATCCATGGGCTAACGCCGATTGATAACCGGTATATTGATAACCGGTGATACGTCAGCTCGTTCGCCGAGGAATACTATAAAACTAAAATAATGTATATTTTAGAACTAATAAAAAAATCATGTATATTTTTGCAGTAAACCGGGAAAAGGGAATTCAAATGATGGAGTGGATGGCAATACTTTGTCGCAGAGTGAACTAGACAACGAATATTATTAAGCAGTTATTTGAACTGGCAATTTCTCCTTCAAACTACTTGAACTATATTGAGTCAGCAGTTATAGGTATACAATCAATCAATTACAAAATAATTTAGTCCTTAGCGACAAAATGTATTCGATTCATATTGGCAAAAGTTTAAAGTGTGAATATTCGGTTTCACCCGCTGCTCGGCTCCATTTGATCGTAGCGTGATGTTTTATAGCATATAGCACTCACGAACATTGTATCTATCTATCTGTGAAAGAATTTTGGCAATCCGACCAGCGGTTCCAAAGATTACCTCCTACATACAAACTTACAAGTTCCAGACCCGGAACAACAAATTGTGGATCACACAAAGAGTTGTTCCGTGCGGAAATTAAACAGCTACACCTTGCACGGTAACCGGTTGCCCGTTCACGATAACCGCTGAGTCAATTTGGGACTTATAGGCTTTAAACTATGTCGGTCTTTAAAAAAAGAGGTATTTCGTTAGTTTAGGTCTAAACCATTGAGCCAGTTTTTGAATTTCAAATTGAAGGTAGGTCAGAATAAGATTCAAAATACAAAACCTGACTCATTTTTTTTAAACCTAAGCTAAAGATAAATCTTGTTTTCTAATAAATGATGTATGTATAAACTTACATACATTATACATATATATTTAAAATAAAAATAAAAATTGTCAACATTTTATTGTAGTATTTTAGTCACTTTCCTTTTTTTCTGTGTTGGTCATTTAATATTTTTGTATTATGTTATTTCTGTGTGTTGTTTTGTAACGTTATTGCTGGGATATTTGTTGTGTGGTTTCGTTTTTATTTACGTTTTAATTATATTCACGATGATTCATGAGAAACTGGATGTACTAACCTAGTTATAAATAAAAGATGTGTCCGCTTATAATTGGAAGCACATATTTGTATTGTTCGAGTTTTTATGTTAAATACTTAAATATTTTAAATCCAGGTTTAATTAAGATCTTTAGTTTCGCCATGATATCTGTCTGTCTGTCCGTCCGTGGATAATCTTAGTGACCGTTAGCACTAGAAAGCTCACATTTGGCACCAATATACACGGTACACAATAGGCACGGTGACCAAATTGTTTATGTGTCACTGAACCACAACCAAATAAACTTATTAACGCAATTATATACATATAACTTGGATAAAGTCACATCCATATCCAGTTTACTTAACGTTAATACGCGGTTTCAAACTGATAATTTTATATTAATAAGTCCAGTTTTTCTTACAATACTTTCGTTTACCTTTATCCATGGCATATCCGTATTGTATGTATGTATACTTTATTAGAAAAAGTAGGCACTTACTTATTTACTTACTAAGACTATTTTTATTAATAGCTATTTAGGATAAATTTAAATGAACAAAAAAATATTATTATTTAATTTGAGAAAAGTATTTGTTTCAATAAATTCCTTAATGTAAACATGGATTGTTGTTTCACTGCATTAACCTTTGTCAACTAAAACCTCGCTATAATATAAAAAAGGCTAATCACAATTGAAGATGGATTCATGGTTTTTGGGGATTGGGAATAGCAAGGGGATGGGGGTTCCTTAATCAAACGACAAAACAAAAAAATCAAGCGTTGTTTCACGCCGCTCTTATGTAAAGCCGTGGTATAACACCAATCAAGCCAACCCTCGTGCCACAGAAGCTGTCCTCTAGTTTTGGACCTCATCTCCCCATTTGTGGAAAAAAATACTAACCACGGGACTTAATCGGTGCCACGTTTACCCACTCGCAACACCATATAAGTTTTTAAAGCCTTTTTTGACCTATCTACGAGAATACTAACATATTATACTAGAGTCCGCCCAAGTGGTGTGTTGATAAAAAGCAAGTATCATGACCTATCAAACTACCAAATTTCAGTTCAGCCATTTTTGAGAGAAATAATTAACAAACATACATATGTACTTACAACCATACATTCTAACAAAAAACTTTTACATTTATGATAAGTATTAGTAGGATAAAAAGTACAAAAACTAAAACAAAATTAAGACAAAAAACGAAACTGAAAAAGTATAAAACAAGATTTTCAGGATACTGAAGGGCGTAGTCACACGTTACATTTACCTACCATACCTGCACTTTGATAACGATTTTGTGATACCCCATATAGCCTATAACCAGCGGAGAATTAAGACGTTTCTAATGATATGACATTTGTCGAATTCTGATAAGTAGTTTTAAAGTTACGAGGGAACAGATGAACACACATACATACATACAATAGCCTGTGCAAATCATAACCCTTCTTTCGTTTTGCCATAGTCGGGTAATAAAATAATATAATAAATCGGATGAGTTTGTTCATTTATTGGTTTGAATACGATAGTCTCCAGAACTGCTGGCCCAAATTAAATAATTATTTTTGTTTTGAATACTACAGACTATAAGACATCATGTAATAGATATCAAGGGCCAAACAAAGGGTAAAACCACATAGAAATAGCTAATCGAATAAGTATATAGGTTTTCAATAAAACAGCTATTTTAACATGAAATAAACTTTATTTCAGATGTCACAGAGTAAAGAATCATCTTTCACTATTATTTACACGGCTTACAATACTAAACTTAACACAAACAATGTTAATACCACATAATTCAGTAATACAACCGATTGTAACTTCTATTCCCGTTTTGCATTAAAAATATATTAGCAGCACAAAGAAAATTTTCAATGCGGTAGTTTCCAACTAGTCAAATTCAATACTTTTATCCAAATGTCAAAAACGATACTTTTCTATGAAATACTGTGTTATGACGTCATAGTATTTTTACGTCAAATAGCTTACTTATTTCTTAAAAAATTGCTAAAAAATATCTAATATTTAGTGTATCGATCGACCGATAAATGAAAGTATTGTTCAAGTTATTTTTCAATATTTTATTGTATTGAAACGTCGAATTAATTTATTTTTGACCTAGGAAACAACGCAATTAATATTTCTATAGAAAAAGGTCGGAACCGGTTGATTATACTGAATGTATGGTGTTCAGAAGTCTGTGTACATTTTTAATGTACATTATTTCAGTGAAAAATGTATTTGAAAAACTCAACAGAAAGACTAAACAAAAAATAGTTAATTATGCCTAGAGTGTAAAATGTATTTACATTAGAAACAACTGGTAAGGACGCCTTCTGAATTCAAACACCAACCATTAATAGTCCATATAAACTGCGTTCATAAAACAAGTCACAAAAGTAGAGGTTCTTTTAAGATACATAATCTGATATTGAGATAGATACTCCACGATTGGAGATACACACTCCACGACTGGAGATACATACTCCTAAAACGCCATTTACTCACAACACAAAACCGAAAATCCAGATTGAAGTATTATTTGTAAGGTTTTTGATCTCATTAGCGTGAGATACTGTTTGTCCAATCACTGTAGCTATCATAAAGTTTAAAGTCCTGTAGTTTCTCTACTGGGCAATAGACCAAAATTCTCACTAGCGCCTCTAGCGGCAAAACCTGTCACGATGGTCTTCATTACGTTCGAATGAGCAATTCCATTAGGTTATTATGGTAATCCTGAAGTTGTGGGCCCCTTGGGCTTTCGCTACGGAATTCGCCGACCTTGCCGACAAGCCAGTACGTTTCCATATACCCCTTACCCTGGAGAAGGACATAGAAAAACATTAATTATGCTGTAAAATGAAATCGGTACATAAACATCATCAGCTTATACGTGTCCACTACTAATTAAAGACCTCTTCTCATACACAGACGGCTTGAGCAACAATCATCACACAATCGGCTCAAGGCAGATTTGTGATATAATACTTAGAAATTGTAACTCTTGGTTTCCTCCCAATGTTTTCACTTCAACATTTATCAAAACAAAAAAACATTTCAATAACAAAAAAAAATCTAAATAGATTCTTTAAAAGTAAATATATTTCAAATATATGAAAAAAGTGACCCGCGAATTTAATATAAGCTCAATAATTATGCAAAAATTGGTGGTGCCCTTTACTTTCTATTTAGCTCTAAAATAGCGAACCATAGAACGCGTACCATTGATGACCCGCAAAATAATGTTTGGAGAACTAGTCACAAAATATGGGATCAATAAGTCACTTTAACCTGATATGTCTGATATTATTTGGTCCGGAATGCAACTTTTAATCAGTTTTTTTTTGACAGGGGAAATTTATCAAATGACCTCCGCCCAGGGTGAGGCAAGAGAGAGCGTGTGTCAGACTCTTACTGACTAAAAACCCCCCTGTTCCTTCTCCTGCTCTGATGGGCCGAGGTCGCGGGGACTTAAACTTTTAATTAACTGACTAACTTAATCGGCAGCAAGCTTTTGCGTTTCATGTAAACAACGTATTATTAAACGAGTATCACTGAGAAAAGTAATTATTTCAATACTTTGGAAGGCTTGACGGTATTTAATGTTATTTAAATAATTACTTTTCGCATTAATACCCGTTTAATAATATGTTGGTTAAATTAAACGTGAAACTTTAAAAGATAAAATCAGCGTCTTGTAAGCTTTATCCTGATTTTAATACAATATTATAAAAAAACACATTTAGGTATGTCTTCCAATAAAGTCCCACTTACAAGAATGGCATTTACACGTAAAGGTTCGCCATCCCTCCCTAGTCGATAGAACAAAGACGTGAGATACTTTAATGTATGTATGTAATTACATACCGCTATATTGACTGGACCTCTTGTCTCAAATTCGTAGTTCCCGATCTCATCGAGTGCTAATTTCGTTGTATATGAAATGTGAATTTTCATTGCTGTTGACAAAACAATACACAGTTACAAAAGGTTTTATTATAAGACGAATTGCATAAGTAAATCTTTTATTGCTTAGTATTTTTATTAAAAGCGCAGAACCAAAAGTGTCTCTTAGAATCCTGCATAAAACGACAGCCATATTTAAAATACCCCAAACCCCAATCTCTCGATAGCCAGTTTCTCAATCAACAATCACTGAACTCTCAGAAATCCAGCCAAATACTTGTATCTCCTCTACAGTTACCATGTCAATAAGTAGCACCAATTGCTTACTATAAAATGACAGGTCTACACTTTTGTCAACCTATCTAAATAAAGTTTAAGTACGTATCATACCTTCGCCAGTGCTCTCCATCCGGCTAGCAGTATTAATAGTATCTCCGAAGAGACAGTAACGTGGCATAGTGGTCCCAACCACTCCAGCCACACAGGGTCCAGTGTTTACACCGGCCCTAATCATAAGTGGCGCCCCCGGCCGGTGCGGGACACAAGCGCCCTCCAAACTGCGCAACAGAGACAGCGACATATCTGCTATCTCTGACGCGTGGCGGTTGCCTGGTAATAAGAAAACTTTTAATTTTAATTTTGTATTATTATCTACATTTCAAATATTTCTTTTACATACGTACAAACTCAATATACATTAGCAACAAAGTGTTAAAAAACAAGCGGTCTAAAATAGTCAAAATAAGGAAAAAATATTTGTATTCGGCTATAATGGGCAGTTTGATAAGAGGCTTGTTATTACAACATACCTATTCTCCGACTAACATAGTCAAACGCTTCCGATCATCATTTTCAAGAATAGTGGCTCAATGATCATTGCACGGTACTTAAATGTTAACAAAGAGGATAATTTTAACTAAAAGATGACAGACTCATTAAAGCTATTCGGATTTCCCGAACTATCAAGGGATTTTTATCACAAGATCTTGAACAATGTACGCGGATAATGTACACTTACCGTTTCTTTGAGGAAGGCCAGACACAACCATGTAAGCGTCACCTATCGTCTCCACTTTGTACACGTCGTAATGAGTAATTTTCTCGTCAAATAACCTACGGACAAACATATCAATATTAATTATGTGTTTAGCTACGCCACTGGGAATTACGGTAGCACTTACAACGCACGCGGGTAAATAATTTCTTTAGATATTGATATCTTGTTAAGATTATGATCTTTATACAAATAACACAGGCTGTTGCAGTGTGGTGTTTTGGTGTCAAATAATTGATACAGGTATTTCATTAAGTATCTTTTCCCGCTCTTTGTGGGGCAAGAAGTGTCAGACTCTTACTGACTAAAGACCATCCTGTTTCTTTTCCTTATGTTGACGGAGGCCACGGTCGCAGTATGCGGTATTGCTGTAGTATTGCGCTTGCATCCACATCTGGAGCAATGGCTAAGGAACTAGCTATTGTGCAACGCACCACGGGTACGAATTCCTCAGAGAACAGCTATTTGTTCGATCTATAATTTGGTGTTTCGAGTCTGGCTATATGTGTGTGTATGTCATAATGTGAGTATGCTCATTTGTATGTTTGTAAACGCACACAAGAAAGTCTTAGTGTGAGTTCATGTTTCCTTTGTCGTGTGAGTGAGGTTATTGGCCTCCGATTACCACACTCACACGGCTAAACATAACCCAATCGTTGTTTCAAGCCGGTATAACTCCGGTCGAGCTGGCCCATTCGTGCCGAAGCATAGCTCTCCCACATTTGTATGATAAATATACCTAATATATTTTTAGAATTTGTCCTCAAACAACCTTCGTAGATGGTATCATGATATCATTTCATCTAGATTATTACATTCTAAATTTCGTAATTTATTATGAGAACTGGTTACACATCTTTAGAATACTTTAGATAGCCATTTCGTTAGGGTTGTGACATTTTGTTCTTTGAAGTCAACATATATTATTTTTATCGTAAAACAAGCATGTTTTTTTCATGCCACTGCTAAATTAAATTTGCGAAGATTCTTTTCAAAATTCTGATTACATTAAGTCTAAAAACGTATTCGCACGAGCGATCGTTGGAATTTATATTTTACTGCGCGGTCAAAATTAACAATCATTGTTTAATTAAATTGGTGGGTTTTTAGTTAGTAAAATTTTGACACTCTTTCTCGCCCCAACCCAGGGTGTGAGAAGTAATTTGATGACTTACTCCCGTCAAAACAAAGCGTCCAAGGAAGACTAGTCCAAGGAAGACTATAAAATGTAAAATTAATTTTATACTTAGTTATTTTTCTGACATTCATTTCTCTTTTTTTCGCTAAAAAAACAGGTTTAATATCACTAATTAAAGCTACATTTATCGACCCATTATTATCTCTGTATAAATATTAAGTGAATCACAAAATGTGTTGGTAAGCGCATAACTCAACAAGCACCGTCTGGACCACTTTAATCATTTTTTTCGTTTGTTGTTTGTTCTACTAAAAAGCACTTAATAAAAAAAGAGAGAAAAGTAAAGGAGGAAATTCGGAAATAGTGATCCTTTGTTAGTGAGGTAGTTACATTAGACTAGGTACCTATTTTAGTTAGACGTTCATTCCAAGGGAGCGGGTCCCTAGGTACCTATTCATAATGACATCAATACATTGAAGAAATGAATCATTTCGTATTTTCTTGATCAATGTAACCTCTTTACAATTTTTTCAGAGCAACCTTTAAAAAGTTTACAGGGAAAACGACTATACTCGGAATTTTAATTCCATTCCACATTTGACAATTTCAGTGTTGCAACGTTATGACACGTAATAAAATAGTGACGTTGCGAAATTAATCGATATGGAAAACGAATATTTCTGAATCAATTCCTCTCGTTTATAAATTTACTCTCGTGTAAACTAAGTTTATCAGGAAATAAAGTATTTTGGAACCTATAATTTAGTTTTGACAATAAATAACGATCTGAGACTTTTCTTTTGTAATTGTGTGTGAAATTAATAAAAAATGTGATCATGAAGGAACGTGACAAATAAAACAGACATTTTATAAATTGTCGCCGTCATCGCTATCGCTATCGCTGTTACTTTCTGTAACATTTATTATGAATTGTGTCTGTGATTTTTATTGTCAATTAACATATCTAGCTTACTCATTTTTTCCTCTTCTTTGACAACATGGGATACGCATTTAGACCATTCGGTAGCCGTACTTTTTTGAATGCCTTCCTGAAACTGATTCCCTGATTGTTTATCGATTTTTGTGTTCATCACTACACTGTTATATGTGGTATAATTATTTCACAAAATGACAGTGGTCAATGTCAAATCAGGAATCGAATTAAAATTCTGACTTATAGATATGTGACTTTTACTCAATTAAAACCTATCACCAACACCTGTAACCTGCCCTTACAGTCTTACGCGTTTTATGGCACATTTTTTTCGAGACCTATACATTTTTTTTTTGTGATAGATCGGCAACTGAGCAGACCGATTACTAAGCAATCAGCGCGGTATTCTGTGATGCCGTAGTGTCACTCCTGTCAGCCAACCTATTCGTGCCGAAGCATGGCTATCCGACAATTACACATACACTTGAATTGTTTAAAAAAGTTACCTGTAAAGCATATTGAGCATATTAATCACTTCCATGGGAGTGCTACTAGCTGATATGTTGGTGAAGCCGACGATATCACTAAAGAATATAGTGACAGCATCAAACGCCTCTGCCGGTACTGCTCTCTGAGCTCGTAATCTTCTTAAGACGGGCAGTGGCAGCATTCGGGAGAGAAGTAAATCACTCTTCTGTTTTTCTGCTATCAACTTCTGTGTACTCTGCTCAATTGAATGTGTGAATGTCTGGAATAACAGAGAAAAGAACGAAATTAATAATTTTGGCGGAAGATGTTTCACAAAAAAACGATTGTTTAAATATAAATATAAATGTAATTTGTGAATAGGGGCTGCCCGATGTTTTGCCGGTGTGTCTTATAGACGCTGATGGTGGCCTATAAGGGTTTGAGTGAGGTAAAAATCTACTCAAGACTTTTGAAAGTAGCCGCAGTAAACGAAAAGAGGTCTAACAAAGATTAATTAGTTGTTTTTTCCAATACACTGACTAAAATATAATCATACTTTTCTATTGGGACCTACTATAATTGTTGACGAATCAGTATTGTTAGTAATGCACTCGCATCGTGTTTGCCTCCCCAGTTGTCCCGTATAGTGCACTACAGACGCACGCTACTAACTATTGTGACCTTAGAGTCAGAAATTGCAAGTGTATTAATTGGTATTCGATTTACTTACGTATCCCTACACGCGCAACCTCGCCACCTAAACTTTAATTCATTGATTCTCCCTCAAGATCTATTTGTCGTAATATCACTATGACGTCATATATTGAGGATTCAACAACATAATTATGACGACATGACGGCAACATACAAGAAAATTAAAAAAGAAGTATTTAGTTTCAATAAAAGTATTGAATTTAATTAGTCTGAAACTACCGGTTTGCTAGTTTGACATTAATAAATTAATAGGAGTACAGTCTAAAATTATCACTGGTACATGCCAAAAAACCCACATACCCAATACCTTTTACTGAGAATTCTCTGTAAAAAACGTAGATTAAAAATGTATCACAATTCATTGATCGATTTAGTCGCGATCGGAAATATTACTCAACGATAGATAACGATTTTTTGCAAAGGAAACGTAAAATTGATAAATATAGAATCATCAAAATCCATACTGGCTTATCTTTGTAAATAAAAATTAATCATTGCCAAATGTCTGTAGGCGCATAACTTCCGAGTTACTCAACCAAATTAGGATGACTCAATCAAAATTAAAAGTGTGGGAGAGTCATGGTTCCGTACGAATGGGTCGGCTCGACCAGATTGATACCACCACGGCCTCGTAGAACACCGGCGTGAATCAATAATTATGTTGTGTTTCGCCGTGTGAGTGAGGGTAACAGAACCCTACTCTATTACCAATTCGCAAATCCTCAATTCTTAAATCCTTAAAAATACAGTTGCAACTATAACTTATTTGGTGTTAAGGCTGTTATGGGCGGCTTTTATTTACCATCAGGTAATCCGCATGATCGTTTGCCGACGTCTCTCATTGATCGATTCAATTTTGGACTTATCTTCTGTGTTTATCTGCCTAGTTTAAGAAAATTATGACGCCTCACTTTAGTACCTAATCTTATACATACATAATTCATTCTTTTCGACGTTTTTGACATACTATAAAAAACATTATCGTAAGACATACTAAATTTATTGAAAATAAGTAGGTACCTACTTACTTACTAAGAAAAGCCATACTCAAGTTTGAACGGACTCGACTTAAGTCAGAACGGAACTCTTATTCATTAGCAGTGACGTATTTTAAATCACTAAAATCGTTATATTCCATAAATTTCAAAAACAGTATTGAATATAATAAGATAACGTTCTCACTTTAATTTTTTTATTGCGTATGTACAGTTAGAGGTCAATTATAGGGCAGTTACACTATTTATAGTTAAGGATGAGAGGTTCCATGACTAATTCATTATAGATGCACAGATTCCAAAGTATTGAATGACAGTTTTTTTTTACAAATCTATAATTTTTTTTGTTATACAGGTTCTTACCTGTATAACAAAAAATATTATAGATTTTTGCATCGTTAGAGTGCCATTGCACTTTTGATATTTGATAGGAAGCTGGTAAAATAATAAAGGACAGCTAGTTATTTTTAAATTAATTGATAATAGATCATATTAATCATTATATTGACTTGGAAACCTGTTTGCCTTATTAATCTCTCATACCTGGCATGATTCACATACTAATCGTGTGAAAAAACTGTTATATGATTCATCCACAGTAGGTATACCTTGTTTGTTTTGTTGACAACAACTAAGTCAATATTACAAGACTGTCTTTAAAAACTCGTATCCTAAAATAACTCATCCAATTCATCATATTTTTTGCATTTAATTTGTAAAGAAATTGAAAGTATACTTTATTTAGTTTCAACCTCGATTTCAATAACATTGTCAGAAATGAAGTTAAATGTTATGAATTAAAAAATGGCCAGGCAATTTCTGTTACATAAGGTACTAAGATACTTGTCAAAAAGTACTTAACGATAAAACTATTGAAGTAGATTAGTGAGCGTTTAGTTAAAACGAGCTAGTTCGACGAAATGACACGACGGCTTCACAGAAGACCAGCGTGAAACAATGCGTTTTGCCATGTTAGTGAGGTTACCGGAGGCAAACTCCCCACCCCTAATAGATATACTATACATACCAATCCCTAAATATCTTGCAAACTCCAAAACGCAAATGCATGGAATGCGCCTTTTGCTTACCACCAGGTAATCCGTTTACACGTTTGCCTCTTATACCATAAAGAGGTGAGTAAAAAAATGTATAACATAAAATAAACAAAAAAGCGAAGTCAAATCTGAACAAATATAAATCGTTTTTTATTAACAAGTTCATTACGTCGACTTGTGAAGTAAGTAATGAAAGAATATACCAACCAACATGAAATTTTGGCATGTAAGTTATGAAATATACACACATAATAATTTACTAGTAAGGTTACCGGAGGCCTAATCCTTCACCTCCCCCAATCTCTAAATCTCAAAAACCCTAATACCTAAAAGTTCTGCAACGCACTCGTACCGTAATACCGTCGAGTAGACTTGATGATAGAAGCGGAAGGTGGCTGATAGAGCCTTGAGCTACCTATTACATATAAATATCGAGTTTAGGCTCATCTGATACGAGTATGTTTTCCTGCTGAAGAGATCATAATATTTTTATATCTCATATAATTTTTCCCGCTGTGGGTGAGGCAAGGAAAAAGTGTTAGACTCTCACTGACTGAAATCCACCCTGTTCTTCCTTCTGCCCTGGGCCTGGGCTACGATACATAATAAGGCTTGCACCACAATCCCGGCTGATAATATAATAGATATAGTTATTATAATCGTGATCGTTTTATAACTATGAATTTATATTATTTTGTTTAAAGTAACAATAACCTTTAACGCATACGTACATAGCTTACTACTATAAAACCATTACCTAGAAATACTGCAAAACTCCTTTCTTTAGTGAAATACACAAGTTAAACATACAATACAGATAATAAATAAAATTAATTTCATCATTGTCTTCCAAAACAGCTGTTCATATTGTGTTTCACGAAAATAACACTTCGCACGAAGGCGTTAAAATATCAAATAGCGTCATTGAATGTGTACCATACGTCTATACCTGTAAAGACGACAGCACATCAAGCTACCTTCATCTGTCAAACTAAAACTAAACTTTATGACTAAGTGATAAAGTAGGAAATTTATTGAATAACACTGCGGTTATACAACGATTACTTAGAACGCGTAAACCAGGTAGGAATAAACAAATGATATCACTGATTGGACGATGTTGGTCCTCGTCATTGAAGTCATTCAAGATTTAGATGTTGAAGTAGAAAGTCGTGTTTGATTATAATCATGTATCGTTTCGCTTGTTTAGTTGTGTTGTGCGTGTGTGCTAGTATGGGTGTGTGTAGAGACTTAATGCGCACGAGTGCCGACCTTGACGGCACTGCCTCTGGCCTAGAATCTCGTGCTGCCATGGATCAATCGGACGTGATGATCAATCTTAACGTGTTTGAGTACTATAATCCTTCAAAGACAAATACTGGAACTGTTGTGAAATTAAAAAGGTTTAAAAGGAATTTTATTGGTACCGATAATTGTCCTAGATATGAGGTCAGGTTTCTTGGTGTCTGCGTTACTTGTGAACAGTGAGTATTTATTTTTTGTTTTATGTTTTTAACCGACTTCAAAAAGGAGGAGGTTTCTTAATTCGATAGAATATATAATTTTTTGTTCCTATAAAGTATGCCTGAAGTTATTATGGATATCTAGGGGGAAAGTTAGGCTTGTAAAGGAACACTAAGTGTATGAAAACATCAAATTTATTGGAAACGAAAAAAAATTGTTTCAATAATTAAAAAAAAACAAAATCTAAAAAGTTAATAGAGGAAGTCTAGTTCAATCTTGACCAGTGTGGCGTTTACTAACATTTCAAATCAAGATCGATTTGCTGGCTATAAGTAAATTAATTCAAGAGTCGAAGTTTGTTTTCGTTTTGTTGGTACTAACTAAACGTCATTCATGCGAGTAATGTTTAGATTGATAACGGTATACGTGTGTTTTATTTGAAAATGGTGAATGAGATATTTGTGCGATAAGAACGCGAAATTGTAATGAAATCGATACAATTAGCTATGCACCACGTTTCGAGAAACGTTTCTTCTGGATATGAATATTCTATTATAAATCATTCATTTTGATTATTATTTATGAATTTCTTTTTATTGTATAAGTCGGCAAACGAGCAGACGGATTACTTGATGGTAAGCAATCGGCGCCGCCCATGGTCACCCGCAACACTGAGTTACAAGTGCGTTACCGGCCTTTTGGGGTGGGGGTTGCGAATATAAGGATCGAGAAGGGATAGGGGAAAAGGGGGGGTTGGGCCTCCGGTAACCTCACTCACACGGCAAAACACAACGCAGTGGTTGTTTCACACCAGTATTCTGTGAGGCCGTTGTGTCACCCCGGTCGAGCCACCATTCGTGCCGAAGCTTGTCTCTCCCACACTTCAAACGTCTCTCATCCAATTACACCAATATTTTGCTTTCAATATTATCTGACAGTTCAATACTTTAATTCCATCAATGGATACCTTGATAAGAATACAGTTTTATTTCCGAATAGCTATTCGACTTCACATTAATTAAGTACTTACTGGAATTAAGTAATAGGAACTGCCTTGACTGCTTGTAACCGATATCAGCATCACTTACGAACTAAGTGAACCTTTCAAGGTATTGCCCATAAGGACACAGAGCAGGAAAAGGAATGAGATTTTTTTGTGAGGGAAAAATCATCAACTGATTTCTACATTGGTGAGAACAATTTATTGAAAGGGTAATATATATACAGTATATACAGTAACATATATAACCAAATATATACAGATACTGTGAATTTTGAGTAGTTTGCCTTATTTTCAAATTTCAAATTTATTTATTTGCAAACTTATAAGCGATTATATAAATAAATAAACTTCAATGTTGTATAAAACTTGCTACGTATTTACTTACCTTAGAGGTTTGTGGGTAAAGCCGAAAAACACGCCATACTGAACTTGGGGACTTTTTTGTGCAGTATTAATTAGGTAAACTAGCACACGGATCAACTTATAGTAAGCGATGAGCATCGCCACAAAGTGCAGCCGGCCATTTAAGAAGAAGTACGCTCTTTTCTTGAAGGTTTGAAGGTCGTACCAATTAAGAAACACCGCTGACAACAATTCCATTCACAGTAAACTTGGCCATCTATTTTTATATTTATATTTTTGGTGGGATCTAATATTTGATCAAATAATTTGGGTATAACAAATATCTAGACATTTTCAAGGTCAGTATAGAGAAGTGAGTCTTACTATTGATACATGCTCTTGTCTGAAAAAAAAAACGAGACATTGTTTGACGAAATCATCTAATGATATCTCCAGCCCTGCTAGAACAAGAGGGGAATGTCTCTCACTGACTAAAATCCGCACCGTTTCATGTCTAAAATGCTCTCTTTTGTCCAAAAAGAATTTTGGCTCCTGAAATATTTTTGGCTCCGAAGTCTAAAAAGGCTGCTAAGTCATCCTAACTAAAATTATAAATGTGAAAGTAACTCTGTCTGACTATCTGTCTTTTCTTCACGCCTAAGCTACTGAACCGATTTGTGTGAAATTTGGTACAGACATAGTTTGGAACTAGACATAGGATAGTTTTTAAACCAAAAAATCTGCAGAATTCAATATTTCACGCGGGCAATGTCTCGGGCAGAAATTTCTATTAATCCATCATAAAAAACCTGCTTAATTTCCAAACAATCGAAGTATCTCTAAGAACGAAGATTAAGATTAACTTCGATTAGGTACTTGGTTTTTATTACTTATTCATTTTTCCGAGAAACACCAGGAGTTAGGTTATTGACAGTTATGATTAGTGAGAATAAAAATCGATGAATAATAACCGTGTTTGGGCATGTGTGTGAGTCACTTTTGCTGTGTACCTGCACACTAATGCGATGTGTAGTAGTAGATTAGCAAATAACTATAGGTAACCAAACGTTCCCGATTTAAATGACCTCAGTGTATCTAAATTTAGGTACATTTAATTATTAATGGTTTGCTAATTTTTTTTTTTTTTGTGAGTGGAAAGTCATCGAATGACTTCTCCCGCCCAGGGCCGGGCAGGAGGGAGTGTCAGACTCTTACTGACTAAAAACCCCCCTGTTCCTTCTCCTGCTCTATGCCGAGGTCGCGGTGCCTCAAATGGTTTGCTATTAAGGGCATTAACGTGGCACGGGTTTTCGTACCAAACTTTCGAGTAAAAATATCAAAACTACTGAACCGTTAACTGAGTAACGAACATTTTCGGAATCTCATGAAAACGATTCTTATAATAACTATTTACTCAAAGAAGAAAAAAGGTTGTTTCAAACTAGTCAAAAACGATACTTTTCTATGTTTGTATGAATATTCAAATTATGACATCATATTAATTTTATTTTATCGAATTAATTTACTATTCA